AGACAGTCATATCACAATAGGAATATATCCTCTTGTTGCATTATATTGTGAGGGTAAAGGAATGTCCGCACTGATTAATTTACAATTAAACTACAATTTGTTTAGCAACACTGAAAATTTGCAAAACAATAAAACTATAGGATCATGTTACCCTTAATATGAATCCACAGGAAATCATTAAATACTGTATACAGTTTACCCTGCCCTATGGATCACAAAGGCACACACTTCTTACTGTCATATTGTGTTTCTGTAAGCACAGACCATCACCAGTGCAACATTTTTGCAAGCAAAAGTTCCTTAAAACATCCAGCACAGGAGACAAAGGAAGAAAAGCAGTTATCATTGCAGCAAAAATACATGTCTGCAGTTTGAGTCCATTGGGAGAAAGGTTGAAGAACCATTGACCCAGTAGGGACTGTAGGCCATGTTCACGTAGTGAAGCACCTTTAAAGCTCCTGTCCTCTGTGGTGCTGATTAATCACTGCATTATGATATCTGTCTGGCTTCAGCACAGAAGACATGTGAGGCATGCAATGTCTCAGCACTTCTCCAGGAGCTCCTATGTACAGGATAGACGAGGGGGACGGGGGGGATGTGGAGAGACAAGTGGACAGTTGCATGGACAGACTTAAGAGTGTGAATGCAGTCTGATGCAGCACAGGCAGTATTTACGCTCCGACGGCTGCGGGATCTGGGAGCAGGATATATTTAGCCGCCTAGAGATATCACGCTGAGATGAGATTTCAAAGTGAAGTACCTGTTTGAAGATGCATGGCATTCCACAAGGGTGGGCAAGGGCTACTGGGTATAAATCTAGCAACCCTGCACCTGGTGTGAAGACAAGAAGGGAGTGTGACACTTAAGATTTAGAATGACTTTCATACAAGTCGTGCATGTGTAAACTACATACTCATCCATATAAATTTACACACTGCTTATGAAGGGAAAAGACTAGGCACATCACTTTTTAGCTTTTTAAGATCCACACGGCCTCACACACATTTACACCACAGACTGCATATTACATTTTCCCTGTGTCTTTTCCTTTTTGTTAAATCAAATTCTCCTGGATGTTCTCAGTGTCATCCATCATGGTCTGATCTTGGCTGCAGGAGATCCTGAGAACCACTGGGGGTGGGGGAATAGAAATGAACCTTTGCGGCGTATCACAGTCATTTTCTTCAGCACAGCTAAATGACACAAATTTGATAATATTGTCATAGAAAAGAGAATTGTTTTATATGCTGACATTATGTGCACGTGACTCAGAAAGCCTAAGACATCCCGGGCAGCTTCCTTGGGTCTAGAAGGAAGCAGAGAAGAACCTTCTTGCATTATGTTTGTCATTACTATTAATTTCACATTAAAATTACTTGATTTATTTTTTACATATTACATTCATTCATACTGAGTCGTCTGTGTTATCTATATGTTACTGCTTGTTTATGCCATTTATATCTGGAATGGACAATGATGCCTTTATGTGCTTTGCCACTGCTCCTCCATAGAACAAATGAAGGATTCTTCTGCCTGTCTGTTAATCAAATCAAATAAAATAAAAAAAAAAAGTTTTTTACATGCTTGAAAGAATAAATCAAATCAAATCAAATCAAATCTGCAATTTTTTGCAGACATTTTTCATCTTTATTGTGCCAGTGTTTTTACACCTTTGTCAAGACTGTTGACAAAATGATTATGAATGAATAATTATGGCCTAAATGTCATTAAAAATATTTGCAAATAATACAAAATGTTCAACCTAAAAGAGCATTTAATGGCTTATGTTGGCAACTTTGGTTTGTAGATAAAAACTTAAAAAGTGTTGTTGCTCGGGTGAAGGTCTAGGAACTGGGTCTAATCAGGGGTTTATTCTAAAGACAGATATGATCTTAACATATCAGAAGGTTACTTTGTTGGTATCTCTAAAGACTTTATGCCACAGGCAACTGGATAACACCAAAATAAAATCTTTATTGGGCATCTCGCTCTTTATGTCCACCCCCTGGCTATGTTAAACAACAGGGACAGTGCATGTGCTTGTGTGTATGCGTGTGATCGGCTCGCTTTGCCTCACTTATTGCATTTCCCCTGAGCTTGCGACTCATTAATCATATATTCAACCCCCTGTAAATACATGGTGAACAGTCAAACCTCACACTAATCCGTGCCCCTGGACCGCCCCCCAAGTACAAATGCTCTTTCATGTTTCTGACAAAAATCCCCAAAATCCCCATCGCCTCCCTCCTTAACATTCATTCAAAGCTGAAGAATGTCACTGGTCGTTTGCTCCTGCATACTTGATGTTCCTGCTCTGTCCACTAAAAATAAAGAAACACGGACAAACATACAGATCAGATAGGGGATATAAATGATGCCTTTATGTGCTTTGCCACTGCTCCTCCATAGAACAAATGAAGGATTCTTCTGCCTGTCTGTCCATACATCCTCACCCTTGTCCTGTCCCCCCCCACCCCAGGGAGGGACAGTTACTTCCTTTAGAAAGCAAGGCTCATCATGATACAAGAATTTGTACTGTACAGGAAAACAGTCCAGCATAGCTCAGACTAAGGGGGCAATAGACAGATTATCCATAGTAAGAGCTTTGCACACAAGGATATTTTCTTTTCCTCCACTGAGGAACACAATTGCCACCAGTGTCACTGGGTCACATTTTTTTCTAGTCCCTGGTTAATGGGCTGTAGAGATGGTTAGCACGTACGATTAGTTTTAATCTACTACATTTGACTGGAGAAAAAGGGACCGAATACATTTCAACACACACTGAGGTTTGGATCTAGTGCTGAAAATCTAGTCGCTTCAAACTCTCCAAGTAAATCCAAAAGACAAAAGCCGATCAAGAAAGTCAATTATTTTGACTTTATTCAGCTTTTTCACCCAGCAGTGGAAAGAAAATTTTATATTGCAAAGACTAAGTCTGCAGGTTAACAGACATGCAGGTGTTGTGACGCAGGAAATCACATTCAACAGTTCAATACTTCAGTGTTTTCAAAGTGCATGAGTCGTGTAACCAAATGTGTTCTAGGGTACTTCCTCACTTCTGGTTTATTCAAGTGTTTGTTATTGCAAAAGTTATTTTCATAAGAACAGCAACAGATCATTTTGGCAAAAAAAACAACAACAAAACAAAACAATGTGGAATGTTAGAAAAGCCCTTTTATGCTTTGAAATAAATGACCAAAATGATTAAATGCTCACAACAAATAACAGCAATGACCGGACAATGAACATATGTAGTATTTCTCTCTGATTCTATTTGTAAAATAGGTTTCTACTCTATATAAATTTAACTACCAGTATACGGCAGTACCTTGAATCTGACTACAGCTGCTGTTCTAGATTAGAATGTGCTAGACTAGATGCATATACAGTAGACACTATTAAATCCAAGCATCCTATTGTAAAGGGTAATTAACAACATACAGTGCTTAGTGAGGTATAGCAAACAACATCATTATCGCTTTGACAAACTCTCTTGTCACTGCTGGTCACTTTCACTGTGAAGCATAACTCAGATGACATCAATACCACCCAAAAATACATGGAAACAATCATATCATCACGCAAAACCATAACATAGTATTGCTAAGAAAAATTAGTTCAAGTATGAATAAATGTTGGCAAAATTATGAAGACACTTATCAGAGCGTGTGTCCTATATGTGCTTCTGCTGTTCAGGTGTTTAATATGAGTGAAAAATAGGTGAATAATTAAACTTGCGTGGATGAAATATTTTTGCCAGAGATGTTTGAAAAAGTTACTTAGCCCCTTGCTCATATTAATTAAGGCTTTAACTACAGTTCTTTTAGGCTACTGCTAACCACCCTTTAGAAACTCTGTCTAAATAATACTGCCCTATGGTACTGTTAGTTCTTGATTTCACAAAGTGTATTAACCTGGGAATGCTGAACTGGACCTAGTGATCACCATAAACATGACTTCAACATGATGTAAAGTGCAAATAAGTCCTACACTAAATATCCCAGAATCTTGTGTTTTGATAAGGTAGCTCTTAACATCCTGTCTTAAGTCTATAGAAATAGTGGTGCAAAATGAAAAGTGCTCCCTTAGATCCATCCATGAAATACCACTTATTTCTGAACAGGGTCGCGGGGGGGTGGATGCTCCCTTAGATGTTCCTCTTTTTTTTAGAGGAACATATAAAAACTGTTGACTAAATTTAGCAGACCACCAGAAATGTTCAGAGGCCTCCTGAAAAATTATACAGTGTGCTCGCATTGCCAGCCAACAAATACAAGTCCAACTACTAAATAACAGTTTCTGGTAAAACTGCTCAGCAACAAAGTTTCCAGGATGTACAGACTGAATTACTGTAGGTTAAAAAATTTCAAAAACCTTGAGTGTCACAACAATCATACAGAAGGCTGTGGATACCGAGTGGTTTGATTCTTAAAAAAAGAGGAAGATCCCCATTTCCCCATCAGTAGTCTTTTTCACACCACTGTCACAGCAGCACAAAGTCCCCTGCAGTGGTGACCGTCCTCCTTGGGTCACGGATGAAGGGCCATTCTCTCTTCTCTGGGGTCAGGCCTGCCGACAGGTCGTAATCTCTGCCATGACCCTGCATGAAAGTGAACGCTGGGTATTTGTCCTTCGCTGACGGCTGCAGCACCTGGAACAACAGTAGACCAGTGTTTCAGAGAACTGTTAGTTTTACACCATACAGACCACTCCCACAGCTCTCGCAGATGTGCCATCTACTACAATGGTTTTAGAAACATCTGTAAGACCTCATTTATACTTGGACTACTTCTCCCCTATAGATCTCTCTGAGTTGACCTCAACAATTGCTTCATCTAAATCATCAACATGTCTCCTGGACCCCATCCCGACAAGGCTGCTCAAAGACGTCTTTCCCCTAATCAACACATCCATACTAGATCTGATTAACCTCTCTCTATTAACAGGTTATGTTCCACAGGCTTTTAAACTTGCAGTAATTAAACCTCTACTCAAAAAGCCTACTCTTGACCCAGGTGTCCTAGCTAATTATAGACCAATATCCAATCGCCCATTTATTTCCAAAATCCTTGAAAAAGCTGTAGCAAAGCAGTTATGTGACCACTTGCACAAGAATGATTTGTCTGAGGATTTTCAGTCAGGATTTAGAGTCCATCAAGCTCCTCTCCTACGGAACCAACTCCCAGTCTCAGTTCAGGAGGCGGACACCCTCTCTACCTTTAAGATTAGATTTTAGACTTT